ATCCAGGTCACTCTCTTGGTTTGTTGTTTGTATATCCCTTTTAATTATTAAGACATCAGCCGGTTCCTTTTGTATGTCCAGTGTGACATCTTTTTTCATGTGAGTCTCGATCTTGTCAGGTAGAACTTCTTCCTCTTCCATAACATCTTTTAATCACAGTCTGTCTGTAGAAGCAGACACTATTAAAATTAACTTCTGGGTCCATTGTTCAAAAATATCCTTCAATATGTCCAATGTAAAACATTTTGCTTCATTTTGTAATTGAAAGTCAAGTTTAAGTATTCTTCTCCTTTAATTGTAATATTTAGTTCCCTGTAGTGTCCAATTTTTAAAATCTTATGTTTTTTTAAAAAAGAATTCAAAACAAAAGTATTTTCCCACAGGAAGGATTCTTTATAATCAATTCCAAAATCTTATTTCAAATTTATCTGGACCCTTAGTCCTTTTGTAGCTTTCTAAAATCAAAGTTATAATCACCCTTTTGCTGTTTCCCCCTCCCAAAAAAATTCTTTTAAGTTCTTAGACTTGTACTTAAAACTTTGTTCACTAAGGATTGGAGGAAACTCACCCAGTGCTGTCAAACTTGTCAATCCAAAGGTTCTTTATAGCTGAAAAGCAGTTAACAAGCAATTTACAAAAGTGATTAGAAAAGGAAGAATGCGAACTTAGTGTCCTTTCAAAGGCGCCAACCTCAGTCTGAGCAAGATGGTTATTCCCTCGCCTCCCAGAGCTCTAAACTTGCCAAAGACCACTATGTATTGATCTCCTCACGAGGAGCAGCTGTGTGGAGCACTTGGCAATCTCAAGTCCGGAGAGGAATTATCGAAGAACAAGTCTACTCGCCGGCTCTTCATTCTGCTGTGGTCGTCAGCTCCATTTTTTGGAGCCATCTTCAGTCCGCCAGTTCTTCCCCAGAAGTCCCTGCAGCGTGACAAAGAATTGTTGATTGGTACTTTTGAGTATGGGTTTCATGCCAGCTGTGAATCCACCTAATAGACGGGGCTAATGTTAATTCTCTTGCTAATCTGAACATCATGGGGCAGTATGTCAGATGTTTAGCTGAAATTTTACTGCATTCCCATTTACTAAAAAAGTTACCCAATTTTCCAATAAAGGAAATAAAGTCTGACTTGTTCTTGACAGAGCATACTGACTTGTTCTTGACAGAGCATGCTGACTTTGCAGTATTTTATGGTGCTTTCAGATGATTCCTTTAAGGAACTGCTCTAGAATTCTTTCAAGTACCAATGACAGATTGACATTTGTTGCCCTCCAGTTCTCTGATGCCTCATGTATTCTCAGAGATTTCTTAAAGATCAAGAATAGCAGATCAGAAGTCCCACAGCAAGTTCTTTTAGTATTTTAGAATTTCAACTATGTGAATAACAGCAGTGTGCTCCTTGAAGTTCTTACAGAACATTTATACGCATCTTACAATGTTATGAGAAAATCCAAAGATCGCAATTTTCAAAATCCAAATCTTTTTTTTTTTTCATTATGAGATACCATCTGTGTTTTAGTATGAAAGATAATCCTTGCCAAGAAAAATTTTTCATAATCAGTTAAGGTAGTCCTTATCCTGATCAGTGATGTTGAACTCCAGGACAAAGCTGTTCCATCGTTGGATTGGGAAAGTCCATCCAGCCACCTAAACAGCCACTTCTTTTCATTAAGAGGCACTCAGAGCTGTCCAGTTACATTCTGAATGTTTTCTAATGTTTACCTATAGGAAAAGATGCTGATATGTTCTAAATAATACTAATAATTAGGACTGTGAGCCAATCTGTTTTTTAAAAGATAATTAAATATCAGCCTTTTCACAGGCAATTTAAGTAAATTGATTTTGCACATAATTTAAACCAAAGTCTCAATATAAGAGTTTCTTTGAGAAACTAAAGGAAGTAGAGGTAGCTATGTACAATTTCATAAAGCTGTCATTCAAAAGCAATTGTTTTTAAAAGACTTATTATTTAGGAGATGCATTAATTTTGAAAGTGCAAAATAAGCAATATAAAGGAAACTCATTTGGCAAGAATAAATTCTCTTAATTTTTTTTTAATTTATGTGATTTTCATTGCATTCTCATTAGGAAAAATAAGTATCTTGAACCATCTTTGGCTTTTGAACCAACTACTGGGTTATATCTCATAATACTGAAAATATCTACATTGATACAATAAATTATAAATAATTTAGGCCATAGCCATATATTCTTTGCATGTACACATTCCCAGATTCGGTCTCTGGCAATAGTAGTTTAATTAGAAACTTCCATTGGCAGAGATTTCAGCATGGATTATAGTGGGCTTGCACAGAACTTTTAAGGCCTCTTAGTAGCATGAGGGAGGGCATATCCCAAAAAGCAGATGGGAACAGACATGGTATGGTTGGGAGAACACTGAATTAAATTTAAGGTTAATTAAATTTTGACATAATTAAAATGGAATAATGTTATTATTTGTTATCCTGTAATCATCTATAATAAAATTTCAGCAACTTTTGGAGGAGCCTATATTGGCCACACCCTAGGCTTTAGAGAGCACATGTAGACTGCATCCTAGGGCTCAAGGAAGTAATGTTATGGCTTAATATGGGACTGCTCAGTGTATTCATACATTCATACCAACTATTTGAGCCTCAGATTTGAGGGAGGTGGCAGACTTGTGCCCCCATCTACTGTTTTCCATCTATGTTCCAAAGTATGGGTAAGGGTCCCTAGATGTCTACAGATGTCTGAATGTAGAGATTCTCTATGTATTTGATGGGGAGAGGCTTGAAATCCTTTGCATGGAGGACCCCTGTATGAATTCATCAGAATACATGTAGGGTTTTGTCATGTCTGCCAAATGTGTTAGCATAATTGTCTTCACAGCAATCAGCTTTTTCTTATTTGGGAGGCATACAGTAGTTCTAGATCAGATATTAGTCTAGCTCTGTAGCAAAGCAACTCCTAATCCTTTATTCAGAATGTATGAGATTCAGAGATCTGCAAAATCAGTTTTCTTCTGAGATGTTAGTGAGGTCAATATTAACGTGTGACTTCTGTCCCCCTTTCTAAACTGACAGATTCTAGCAAAAAGATTGCATAACACTTTCATAGTATTGGCTTTTGGAGCAATGTAGAGTATGTATTTGTTTTTTCAGTGTATGTATATATTTTTGCTTTGTGTGACTCTGAATGATAACTAAATAAAGCAAATGATTCAGTCCTTTTGAGGATTTGAAGAATGGCAGTGAAATATCTAAATGCCCTTCAACAAGCAGTTGCCCAGAAGCAAAAATGTTTGGGGTAGGAGAGATTCAAAGACCAATATTTGCTATGGAAACAGCCTGTATTCAAATGAAGCAATGCCGCAGACTGAATTTCAAAACTATATGCAGCATCAATATATTTCCTTGTAAGTATGTAGAGTCAAGACTAATTACAGCATGCAGGTAAGCGTTGTAACCCAGTTGTATAAATATTTAGGTATGTAATAATAACTAAACATAAGAGTGAAAAAAAAACAAATGGCTAAACGTGAATAAGATTCACTTCATTTTTCATTCAGTGCAATTGGTGTTGCAGATGTGATGATTATCATTCAAATTTTTACTCTTATTTTCCACAGAGCCCTGGGCACACATCAAATTCTGGGATAGATTTGTTTTTGTTTTTTCTCAGCTGGTTCCATTTTATGCAGAAAGTAGAACTGAACGTGATGCTCTCACTTTACTGGAGATTAAACTACATCCTTGCTGCTTACCTAACAGAGTCAGCATTTGAATATTCACAGTGGTCTTGATCCCTACCACTCCAAAAAGTACAAAGGACTCATGTCCTGGAGAAAGCCTTCCAATGAGTTACTATTTCTTTGTAAGGTAGGTTGGAAATCTGTTTGCTTTTGCTTTTGCAAAGAGGCTCAAAAATGCCAGACCACAATGCATTTATAACTCTGTATCCATAGGAACAAAAATTAACCACCTTAGCCAGTACACTTACATTTGCCCTTGCTGAGGCAAACTGGAAACGGATGGCTGTGTTCACATAATATATACAAAAACATAATGCGACTTGGGGCATTGTCTGAATCCAGCTATTGTAACTTGTTAACGGTGAGTTTGTTAACTGGATTAGTGTGTATGAACCATTGATAGAGGGCCTTTAGACAGTGGTTCAACTGCAGTTATATGGAAATAAGCACAAATGATTTTGTGTACCTCAGTTGACTCAGCTAGAGTTGTATGGTCAGACAAAGAGAGGGGTAAGTCTTGAAGTGCTCTTACCCTATCAGAGTGACTGATGATCATTTATTTATAGTGGTCATTTATAGTCTGGTTCTTCCCTGCATCCAATGTTTCCCTCACAGCAGATTTGTAAAGGCAGCTAGGCAAAGCCACGCAGTGAGTTTCAGGTGCCATCAGGACAGGACCTGGGGACAGAAATCCACAGTCCCACTCAAAAAATTACAGTAATCAGCCTTCCCCCCAGCCCCATTCCTAGGACATGACTTTGCACATTTGGAAGTAAAAAATGGCCATCTAAATCCCCTTGTAAGGCCATTCCGTCCAGAATTGAAGCTGCGTGGCCACTGATTAAGAACCTGAAGCTGGGTTTTCTTTCTTGAACCATACATCACATAGGCAGACTGGTCAGCTTTTGATGTTAAATGTTCTGAGGCATTAAAAATGAGCAATGGACATAGTGTTTGTCATCACCTGACACAACAAACAAATACTAATTTCAAAAAGCAGTAAGTTGCCTCTCATTTAGCAAAAATCATATCAAAAGTCATGCCACAATGGCTTTAGTGCTTCAATTGTTTGCTCTCTTTCTTTGCTGGGATGTATTGGCATAGTCATACATCTGTCAAACTTCTTTTAGAAATGTGGCATGATTTCTCTATTTAGCTGCTTGCCTTATTCCATGGTTCAGATGCTTTCCTTGGCTCAGTGTTTTCCAGACTTGGCAACTTTTAAGATGTGCGACCTTCAACTCCCAGAATTCCCTAGCCAGCCTTGCTGTCTGGGGAATTCTGGGGCTTGAAGTCCACATATCTGCCAAGTTTAAGAAACACTGCCTTAGCTATATTCCACACTGCTTCAGTGACACAAAACATAGCACTACTGCATGTGAGGGTCAGATCATATGAGAGGTCATTGGATCAGCACCAAAGGCCCCCAGAAATGCATGGTTCTGATGCTTGCCAAGGGATCCACTCCTCCAATACATTTTTGCTGCTGACATCTTCCCATGTATCAGAGCATCAGAGATCAGAATACCTGTAAGGCAGGGGTTCACTGGGGGGGGGGGGATCGGGTCATTTATTCCAGTCTATGATAAAAGAAACAGTCATAACCTGAATAGAATGCCACAACTAGAAGATTGGCCCTGAGGAAAGAAGAAGTAGGGAATGTTTGGATAGTACCAGAGAAATCCCAGTTTAGTGATAATCTTTTACTATAGCATAATGGCATAAAAAAAGTATCAAATCCCATCTTTTTGCATTGCTATTAATAGAAGCTATGGCTCAGAAAACAGACACAGGTGAAATTAATCCTACTCTATTCTATAGTCATTGTCTAGGTTTCAATGGGAATGGGACTTATTTCTGAGAAAGCCAACATGGGACTGCACTTGTAGCTTGCTGTTCGCCTATATGTCTTCATGATTGCTTATTCTCATGCTTTTCAATGGGAGTCATCTTCCTCACTTGCCAGTGTTCACGTGCCAGTCTTTTCAATGTAAAGAAGCAAGACTTCAGCAAATCCACCAAGCAAAAGACTGTTAAGAAAGGATAGCAGAAACTTCATTAGCAAACATTTCATAGGGCAGCCACCAGAAGCCCACAATCAAGACAGCATAGCCTCAACGCCAGTAAGGTTCATTCTGAAGTATGTTTTCAGCTCTTTCAATAATGTAAACATCAACCTGCTGAAAATATTATCACATCCAGGCTCTTTCTACAGGACTTAACCCCCAACCTTAATGGTCATGCACTAGGGAAGATACCAACACTTGCAAAGGATAAAGTTCCCCCTCCTGAGACTTTCCAAATTTCTCCAGTGTGCGGAAGGGGGGGACTTGTCATGTGGGCATGAAATCCTTCACTCTCTACCCTCGGCAGTCTTGTCACTTCTTCCACAGCTGGGCCATAGGATCTTTGGAGGTACAGAAACTCATTGACTTAGCAACGCTGTAGATGTTCACCTTGCAACATCCTCTTGATTTTCCTTCCCCTATATCAAATAACACTGCTACAGAATTCTATACATTTGGATGAGAATAGTTAAGGAAGTGCAAACAAGTTGGTGGTATCCAAGTTCCAGTTACCTGGTGTGAGTGGGTTTAGCATACCATGCATACCAGATTGGTGAATTTCATGTACCTGCTTTTTCTGTTGCACAGATTTACCCCTCTCGTTATTTTTAAATTAATTTACTGTCCCATTGTGATGCAACAGTTACATCAGTCATAGAATTCTATATAGGAACTAGAGAACCATAAATTCAACCATTTGAAACAAATACTGTATACTTTGGAAGAGAAGAAAAGTAGTCCCTGCAACAGTCAGAAGGCTTAGCATTCTTAGACATTTAGAAATAAGCACAGCCTACAGTGTTTAAATATTCTGTTCGTTCACTGCATGTTGTCCCATTCTTCCTCCTAGAATGTCCTTTCTTCCCAGTCAAGTCCCAGTGAGGCATGGCCAGTGATTAATTCAGGGAATTTTGAAATACTAGCTTGGATCAAAGTATGGGGAGCGTTCTGTATGTGTTCTCTCCTCTAGGGAAGCTCTGGGAATACCAGGGGATGCACGCAGGTTAGTCAGCTTCTTCACTGCAAGCGTGAGGACATTATGGCCCTCCAAATGCTGTTGAATTACAAATCCCAGCAAACCACAGCATTGGCTATGCTGGCTAGTGAAGCTGGAAGCTATAGATCTGGAGGACTAGAGCTCTCCAACCTACTGGCTTAATAGTTTACTATTAATTGCCACATCATCGCACAGAAGTCTGTAACTATACTGTAATGCTTAATCCAAGATTTCTCTCTCTTTCTCTCTCTCATCCATTTATATTTATACTGCCACAATTGTGCAACCCTCATAATTTAAATGTGGACAGAACTATGATTGATAAGTTTAAGACAGAACTTTGGTCTCAGTGGCTTGGATCAAAACACCCTGTGCTTGAGCAAAAACTTCTGCTTATCCATAGTGCTGTTAATAAGTCACGAATTTCCCCCTTCATATTGCTCACAGGACCAGGAATTTTCTTGAGGGCAGGTAATTTGCTGTCAGGGAATGGAATTGCGTGGATGAATCCAAAGATGACCAAATATGCAGTTATATCTTCATATTTGTGTGGGGTAGCGGTTAAAGTGCTGGCACAGGAGCAGGGGACCTGAGTTCAAGTCTATCTACGTGGGGATACCAATCATTCTCTCTCAGCCCACTCTATCTCACAGGGTTGTTGTTGTGAGGCAATATGGGAGGAAGGAATGCTCTACACACCATTCTGGTGAAAGGCAGGACATAAATCTAGCAAATACATAAGCTACAACTGGGACATCTTATCCTGCCCTTCCTTCCAAGGAATTCTAAAAATGCCTACTCTTTGTTTAGGTTTACAATAATCTTGGGATTTGGGATATGCTGAGAGGAGGGAGTGACCCCAGATCAACTGGTAAGCTTTGCTGCCTGTAGATACGATGCAGTGGCTCCCCCACCTAAGCCTTCTCCCATGTCATCTTTTGCTTCTATTTTAGTTTAAAAGAGAGTTTACATACATTATTTATTTACTTAATGCTACTGAAAGGGTTTGGAAGGAAACCTCCACAGCAGCTTAGGTGGATCACTTGAATTTCCTATTACATTTCCGTAACACTGCATGTCGCTCAGTGATCTCTGTCACACCTGCCCCAAAGGGGCTTCTCCAACTCCTGGCTTCTCACATTCCAGTTCTATAAAAGACATTTCCTACCCTGTACTGATGTGGCCATCAGTATAAGCTGATCCCAGAGGCAGCCAGTTCAAGGGGCTCTTTGGTTTCTAAAAAAATCAGCCCATGTGTCATTCATCTTGAGCAGGGGCATCAGAGGGTTTCGAGGCTTTTTCCTATCCCCTCACCCGCCCCCAAAATCAGCAAAATGCCGCCTCCGCTCTATGTCTCCTCCAACAATTCAATGTTATAAACTTGTATTTTAGCCCCATGGCTTAGTTTACCAAAAAACCAAAGCCTCTTGTGCAACTATATCAATAAAACAAGCTTTTGTACAATGTATAATCCTCTCTTTATGGCAAGCTAGCAAAGCTGTCTGGATTTCAAGAGCATTATACTCTTTCAGACTCTTAGTTTCGTTAGACGCTTTTGCAAATCATACAAATGCCTTTGTTCCTGAAATATGATTTGTAAGATTGGTATTATATAAACAATACCATTCTTACACCATAATATACTCAAATCATTCTTCACTGTAAGTCAAGGATATGATTGTTTGGGACAACTTACTCTGGGAGGTGGGGGGGGGGCGGGGAAATGGTGAAGTCAAAGCCCATTAGAAACCTCTCGTGGAGGCCCAGTTGGGAATAATCCCACTGACATTCAGCAAGACACGCTTCTTAATAAACAGAACATAAGCTTGTGAAGAAGACCGCTTTCAGCACCTATTGATTGAGGTAGAAATTAATGACCCTTCACAAGTTCTGAACACAAAGTGACTCCTTCTGGGCCAACCCATCGAGTCCAGCAGAATGATTGATTTTGCCCCTTATTATCTCTGGAAAAGGGTTCCACAGAGCAGTCACTGTGACTAATCAAAGCTTTTTCTCCATGAATTTAACCAATTTCCTGTCTGTCTGTCATCTCATTATGCAGAACTGTATTGCAAAAAGTAATTTTCTGTTGGTGAAGAAGTTCTTTTGTCTTCCCTTTGCTGCCATTAGCAGTTACAAATTACAACAAGGAAGTTGTCTTCCTTTTTTTCCATTTTTTTGTTTGTTTTTGGTGTCTTCAATCAATCTTGACTCCTGGCAACTGCCTGGACAAGTCCCTGCAGTTTTCTTGGCAAGATTTCAGAAGTGGTTTGCCATTGCCTCCTTCCTAGGGCCTTGAGAGAGTGACTGGCCCATGGTCACGCAGCTGGCTTCGTGCCTAAGGTGGGACTAAAAACACACAGTCTCCTGGTTTCTATCCTGATGCCTTAACTACTACACCAGACTGGCTCTTTTTTTCCATACCAGATATAATTTATGGGCCTTGATTATTAAAAAGCCCTACTAAAATTAATGGGAATGATTCCTATGTAAGTGGGAGTACCCCATGTATGCCAGTTCATCATTTCAGAGAAGCCAACACAACTTTAAACATACAGACATGCCTTGGAAGGTCCACGGTGACTCCTGTCCCCTGCAGTGTCAGGACAGCAGGGGCAGCAGGAGGAGGAAAGGACAAGAAGCAAAGGGAGAAGACCACGGTGGGATCTGGGCATAGCTTGTCTGCCTCTGGTGTACAAGGTCAATGTGTTTTCTCCTCCAAACAGCATAGCTTCCCTACCCGTTTGGCTAACCAGTGGATGTGTACTGCTTGGTACTCTTACTATGCGCAGTTCACAGATCTTACCTTAAAGCAGGCCCTGCCATAATGCACAGCATCAGTTCAATACTTCCTTCTCTAGTTGTATAAAATGTTTTTTCTACGCACTTTAACTCTGTGGTTTGGCCAAATTGGCCAAGTCTGAAGAAACTAAGGAAGATAGCTTAGAAATTCAAGGACATTTAAAACTGCCACAACCCTCTGTGTAAAATACATACCAGCAGGCAGTTGGTACATTCATTGCAATCTCAAAGAAGAATGGAGACAGACCAGCTGTGATAACCTAGAAAGAGAATGAGACACAAGGCAGGTTGTTGCAACAATTTCCTATTAATTAACCACAAGAACTTACAAAGCGCTGGGACAGGAGTGTACTCAGGGTGTGGTCAAAAAAATCAAGATGGCCACAATGGTGCAGTTGAAGCTTAAGTGTGGCACATACCATGCAGACATCCCAGACCCAACAGTAGGGTCAATATTTATCTTTATTTCAAAGGTTTTTTTTAAATATACACATTAGCACATTTCACAGATTCCCTGGGCAATTTTGTAAGAACATACAAGTCCTGCTGGATCAAGTGAAAACCGCATCTAGTCTAGCATTCTTTGTCACCATCAAATGCATTTGGAATCTCCCTGAAAGGGTGTCTTTGGCCTTAAGGTAGCCTGAACCCTTCTTTTTGAGGAGAAAAAAATCTGCCAACAGAAGTCTTACAATGAATATTCCAATAAACTAAAATGTGTTGTTATTACAGGTACTAATAATAAGAAGCAGCTGCTAAGTGAAACCACGACTGTGGTTATGATCTTCAGCTTTCCTTTGCTTTGCAGACCTGCAAAGGTCAAAAATGCAAGGTTTGGTCACAAAGTTACTTTTTCATCATCACTGTAACTGTAAATGGTCACTAAACAAGGCAGTCACTAAACAAGGACTACCTGTATTATGATTTGGGGGAGTGTACCATTTCAAAAAATGAGTCTGAAGTTTAAAAAAATGTATTCTGATAATCCAGCCAACCAGAGGTACCAAGAAACTGTTCTTCTAGATAACCAAAGAGCAGTTCCCCCACACAAGCTGTGTGATCCTTGACTGCTGTGATCCCGTGTTGTCAACCCTGATGGAGAACTGAGCTGCTACACTTTTGTCTTGGCTGCAGTGTATCTGGTACTGCAGCAAAGCTAGTATTTTCTTTTGCCACATGTGAAATGCTGTGCCAATGGGAACTCTTAATTTCAACCCATCTCCCGGCTCCTGCAGTTGAGGCAACAGTTACCTTCTTTCCCTCCCCCAGCTTCAGTTTAGATGGTATCTCCCGGGACCTTCCATTTCAAGGTAAGAAAGAAGAGAAAACAAGCAGCAGCAGCAGCAGCAGCAAGGCCTTTGCAACCAGCTGACTCTCTGTCAAAGGGAGGACAGAAATTCTTGACAATTTCACTGCTGCCCCTGGAAAGTAATTCCTGCTGCATTCCCCCATTCCATCTGCTGCAACAAAAAAATAGCATGGTTTAAGCCAGTGTTTCTCCCCCTCAGGAAGTTTAAGATGTGTGGACTTCAACTCCTAGAATTCCCCAGCCAGCACGGGAGTTGAAGTCTACACGTTTTAAAGTTGCTGAGGGGGAGAAACACTGATTTCAGCTATTGTAAAAAGTGCCAGATTGCAAAAGCTGACATGGTATCCTTTCAGCTTCACAGTACCAGGAGCTTTGAGTAGGAAAGGAGCTTTTGCAACTGGCTGGATTTCCCTCACAGCAACCGCTCAGATTTCATTTCCTCTCACAAGGGCCAAATGTACATAACCAGTACTGAAAACGTGTGTGCATGCATGCACATGCTATAAACTTATTTACTTTCCCTTTTGTGGAAGGATTTCTTTTTTTAAATCTCCAGGAAGCCAGGGCACTGATGGAATGCCATTTTTTAAAACTGTCTGCTTTTAAAGCATCCTGGTTCTTGTCCCTTAGGAATGTAATGATATTTTTCAGTCTCTCTGGAATTTGGAATTCAAGGGTGAAGGAAGGAAGATTGTCATGGTTCTGCAGCCACAATCTATTGGAGATACAGAAAAAAATTGGGGGGAAATATGAAAAAAGCCCTTTAAAACAGCCAAATGATTCAGAGTGCAAAAAAAAATTCAGGTGAGAAAATAGAACTAAATGGCCAGAATCTTAAATAGGAAGTACTCTACACAGCAACACTGTGTTGTTTGAATGTGATTGCCCTGTTTTATTTCAAGCAGAGAGAGTCAAGGCAGCCCACCCCATCAGCCCTTTTAAGATCCCTCTCATTTTGAACAGCTTCTATCACAGCTAATCACTATAAAAACTATAACTTTAAGAGTACCTGAGGTTTTTTTCCTGCCATTCCACTTTCCTTTTGCATCATTTCTTTTAAACTGCAGGACTGAAAACAGACACTCCTGTGCTTTTTTTAAATCAATTTGTACACTGAATTTAAATTTAGTACACTTAAAAATAATGAGTGAACCAAAATTTGAATTTACATTAGTAGCTCCTTTTTAAATAATGTCCTTCAGTGATCATAGCATAAATTATAATGGGGTATATGTTTTAAAAAATGGACCTTTGGTATTTTTCATAACTGCTGCCTCATGCCTTCTCTCAATTTAGATTAATCTATAAGCATGAATTCCGGCAGTTTTTCTATAAAAAAAAAGAAAAAATATCAACTGACAGAGGTTCAAAATATAACAACTAAATGAGTTCTGGACATTACAGCTTTAGCATTCTGATAAGATGTGATTCTTGTGTAAATAAACTAACTACAGTATAATATATTTTCTCAGTAATTAACTTTTGACCTAATCTCCAAAAGTCAGATTGCAGGCAACCTACATTCACTGAACCACAGCCAAGGACAGTATATTCTCCACTGAAATAATTCTCTCGTACAGACTTACTTCCATATTCCCAACAACGAAAAATTTCACCCAATACTTTTTCTCTATACCTTCAAGTCAGTTACAGAGAATCTAACTTCTATTTTCTCTAGTCTTCATGGAGGGAGAGAAAAACATCCATTTGATTTAAGAGGAACTTATTTCCAAATGCATTCCAAGCAAGGAAATGTAACAATTCAAATTGTGCACATCATCCTTATGAAAAAAGTTGTAATCTTTTCTCCAATTTCTTCTCTTTTTTATTCTTTTCAACCCAACAGAAAGTTAGAAAGAAATATGTAAATGAGGTTAGGACTCTGTCTGTCTGTTGAATAACTGTCTGAAAACTGAACAGAGAAGGTCCAAGTATGGTGTGGCAGGGGAAGCCAGCAAAACAAAGTTAGAAAATGGGCTGGAAATGAGCTGGGAAGGGAAGGGAAGGGAAGGGAAGGGAAGGGAAGGGAAGGGAATTCTTCTGGGCAAGGCCTTGGAATTCTGCTGCATGCTCCATTCTAAGCCACTCCTTTTCCCTTTTAATCACAGGACCTGGAACAGCACATATGTAACTCTGCCCACATACACACAAACACAGATACGGGGGGAGGGGGGAGCAGCAGAAGCACACACATGCACAGACCCAATGTTATTACATTACCCAGAAGTAAATTAACATGCCTCCTACAGCCAGTGCTCGTAAAGGTCTTAGAAAGAATTTCTAAGTTAGCTTTCCCTAACTTCATTGAAATAAAGAACAAGAAGATACCTAGAGCTGTAGGTAGGAATCTGACTAAGAAGCCGAACAGAATTACCAGAGCAACAGAGGGTCTCCCAGTGCAACAGGACTAGTTTAGTACCCTTTGAAGGAGAATCAAAAAAGATGGAACAGTCATCCAGTGCAGCCCCCAGATCAATACAGGTTCTATAAAACTGAGTGCAACTACAGGACACTCATCCTCTGCTTAAATACCTCCAGTAAAGGAAAGCCCACCTCTTGCCAAGATGTGCCTATCTCACTGTTGAACTGTTGATACAAATAAGAAATTTTTCCTACTATTTATCTGAAATCTGCTCCAACTTAGCAGTTTAAACTTGGTCCCAATAAAGCTTCTGGAGCAAGATAAATCTACTCCATCTGCTGTAGAGAACCTTTTAATTGTCTGGTGGTGGTGGTGATGATGATGATAATTATTTCTTTACCCATTAAATCTCATATCTTTCCTCAAGGAGCTCAAACTGGTGTGTGCTAGGTTCCTTGAGATAAGGATGTACATGACTAGGAATTATATTCCAGGAAACAGTAGCCATATAAGGCAGATGCTACTTTCTGAGTGACCAGAAATAGTCCAGAATTTATACTCAGGCAGATCTCAAATCTTTTGGACTCCCTTGGAGTGCCTTCCTCTCAGAGAATGAACCTTGAATTTCTTCTCTCTAGCCCTCAGTGTCCTTTGATGATGGATGCTTGTTTATAACCTCTGCATTCCTACTGTTAGCCCTACAAGGCAGAGCAAACCAAGAAATAAACTCCATGGAAGACTAAACACTATTTTTATTTAGCTTGGCTACAGTAACATAATCTTGTAAGTTTGATTGTGCTTCCCCTCCTTTCTCTCTTTTATAACCATGAGAATTAGGGAGGTGTTGGTCTGAGGCATTTGTGCAGAGTTTCTACATGTCCTGGATTTAATCTATGTTTTATTCTTGTCTCTCTGGTAATGCCCGCCCCCCCAAGGCCATCCTCTTTACTCTCTACATCTACTGTCCTTTCAGGGAAGTTCACCAAGTTTGGCTGGCATTTTCCAGCCACCAACTCAGCCATAACACCTCCAATTTTTCCATTAATTCCAATAACTCAGTGAGGCAGGGTAGATAGTAACTGGATGTTATTCATTGAACCTGGGTCTCCTTGGTCCTAATCTAACATCTTAACCTTTAAACAGAGAGACACAACTTTTTGGGGTACAAGAGATATACCTGGATTTTGAAGAGTATGTATGTATATATGTACACATTCCAAATGCTTTTATGCTACTTTAATCAAAAGTGAATCTAAGTGGCTTACAAAAGTGAATACAATAAATTAAAGCTCACCCACGGATAAGCCAACCCCCACTTTTCATGGTATTTTGAATAAAAAGTTTAGGGTTGGCTTATCCACAGATGGACTTATTCACGAATATGTACAGGAAATAGAGGTGCCTTAAAAAAAAGTATTATATACTCGTGAATAAGCCCATCCGTGGATAAACCAAACCCGATTTTTTAGGTGCATTTTGGCACCTAAAATTCTAGGCTTATCCACGAGTATATTCAGTGCATGCAATATTATAATAAGCAACATCATCATAAAATCACAATAACACACTCACATATATTCTAGGTACATATAACCTAGTACACATCTCAATTCCCTGATCTGATTTCTGGAGAATGGCACATATTCTGGAGGCCACACTCTAAAAAGTAGTAAGTGAGGGCACCTGCCTGCTTTTTGAAAGGCATTAAAGATCTAGCTTTTTCCTCAGGCAAGTATGAGTGGATGACCCACAGGATAAAGTTTCCCCCCCCGCACTTATGTATGTTCATATTTGTTTCAGATTCTGTTTCAGATTTCAATGTTTTTAGACATTGTTTTATTGTGTGGGTTTTACTGACATTTTTATTAGTGATACATGCTACTCTGAGTCATGGGCTGAGTAAGGAGGAATATAAATCAATGAAATAAAATAATTAAAGTGGATGTCATTTCATTTACATTTAATCAAGATTAATTATAGTTAACATTATTATTCTCCAGTCATGTATTTAATCATTTTTCTCTTCTGTCACACTGGCATTTAAAATTGAACAACAATGTTTAAAACTCTTGGGATGATGGTAGTTAGGGTTATAGATCTCTGTACCATACTTCATTCTTACATCTTTCCAGCTAAACATGGGGAAGATTTACTTGGCTGTTATATCCTGTCTTTTTATCAACTGCCTTATTCCCAGAACACACGACAACCATCCTTGCAGATGCTATTTTCCCTCAAAAATCTTTTTTTTTTTTTCTGACAGGTTTTATAATGCTTTTTGTGAGCAATCATGGCTCCTGTTACCTGCCAAATCTGAAGTGTTTCAAGTCTGTAATACTACCAATTTCACTTTCAGAAAACTGCTAAGGGGAGATGCAAAGGGGCAGCTACAAGTAGAGAAAACACATAAAATCAAAAGTTTTCTATTGGGATTGTAAAGTTGACTACAACAGACTAAAACTGGGTTGGCTGATAAAATAACTTGGGAAATTAAAGCAAGGCACTTTGCCGAGGGCAGAAAGTGGAGGGAGAGAAAAAATTCTGAATTCTCTTTTCCCCAAGTTACAGGTAGCATGGAAAGGACTGATTTCATTTTTTTAAAACTCTGTATTAAATGCAGGAATTATGTATGCATGTTGTATACGTGTGCATGTGTTATAAATAGAAGAAAATGGACTTAAAGACAGGCAGTGGCCACGAGAGTCTGAAACTGCAGTGCTCTTGATTGCAAAAACCACATCGGTGCCATAGTTAGGTGTGAATGAAGAAAGACTCTACATTAAGTCACCAGTACTAAAAAACAAAGCTTTGACTAAATGAAACACTGACAGGCAAACTGATATTATTTAGCAATATTGAAATTACTTCGGATGACTGTGGCACTTGGAGCAGCACAAGAAAGCTATACTTGCTAAATGTTATTTTTAATTCACCCCCCCAAAAGAATATTTCTGTTATGCCTCTATTGCTCTTTCAAATATTGCTGTGCATTAAAGAATAGTTATTTATGCTTATTTCCATTTCTAATTTCAATTCCCCAGGCTGTTATTGAAACATTATAAAAAAGCAAGAACAAGGAGGTCCTAGTCCTGATTAAAAAAACAAACAAAACCAAGCCGCTTTGCTGTTGTGTCCCCACACAGCTACAATTTTTGATTCTGCCACTTTTTGTACAGTAGTAAGCATGTCTGCTGTTTCTCAGATGATGTAATGGAAAAGCAAAAAGGAAGAAAAGGAAGGAATGCGGGTTGTGCTGTGCTTCATTTTTCCATGAAAAGATTGGCAATGCTAACTCTGTGTTGGAGGACTCTGATCCATCCATTTCTTGCCTAGCTGTTGTTTTTAAGGTCTTCCTAGCACTGCAAACAAACAGCTGGTCTAAATTTCTCCTGAGTCTAGGGCAGGCTTAAAATCTTGAGCTTTTCCTACCTAGTACTGGTCCCTATATAGGTTGCATGCCTGTAATGTGGAACTGACACTTCAGTATACTTTGTGTAACATCTTTGATAGCCAACTCCAAGGAAGAAACATCAGTCTCCCCCTGCCCCCGCGCCCCCCAGTCTTGTGTAACTCTGTGGTTGGAAATGCAACTTTGTTAAAGTCTACTCAATTTATTACTGCACAAACCGTTGTGTATCACAATCACTGTGATCCATTAAGCTTAAGTGATATTAAAGTGGTTTTTAAGGTGCTACCAGACCTTTTTGTTGTATAGGCAGCTGCATCAAGCAACGTGGTAAATACAGCTGGGATAAATTAATCTCAACTTTTTCAGCAGCCCAAGTTTCTGGATCATGCATGCCAAGTCATTTTTTGTTCCCCCCCCCCTTTTTTTTATTTTACCAATCTGACTTCTCCTGGCAGAGTACTTGCAGTATTGAGAGTTCTGCCCAAGGACTGGAAGGAGAACTAACACAGATATGACTGTCCTTCCTTTGCACTGGCCTATTTTTCTCCCATTATCTTCCCTGTCCCATAGCTCCTATTCACTCGACCAACAGCTATTTCTTCCACCTAGAATTGCACCACGAAACAGGAAATAAGACCAAGTTATCAGATAAAAATTGTAACCAAGGACAAACCTGAAAACCAAGCAATTATGAAAGAAACTCTAGGCTATTTAATTTCAGTATCTTCTAAATTGGTATATTTGTCAACATTCAATCATCTGGCATATGTATTTGCAAATTATTCCCAGACCAATTCTTGTTATTTTTTCCTTTACTGTCTCCATGAATCATTGTTCAGCTTACACTACTCAACTATAAATAGCTTAAGAGAGAGACTAAATAAAAACCTTGGATTGCCAAGGTGGGCACAGGAAATAACTTATTATACAGAGACTAATTCTCAATGAAAGATCAGGAGTGGATGAATTCTGGAACTCACTCATATTCTTGGATTAGGAAGCAGAAATAACATTTGAAATGGTAAAGAGGAAGATGCATTACAAGGCATTGTAATAATGTTATCATTATGGGTAACTTGGCAATGGTCTATATTTGCCAGCATTTAATACAATAATCTTACATGTGACCAGAAAGGAAAAAATTAGTAGTAGTAACCCCTTGCTGGATGGTAGTGGAAAGGAGAGGATTGTTATTTCACTGTTACTATTTAATACATTTCCATTCTGTCTTTCTTCTATCATAGAGTTCATATGACGAAAGGAAGGTTTCCAATAGGTCTTCCAAAGCAGCTTAGTTTCAGCAAGACTGCTGCATCATATTGCCTTCAGAACATGTCCCGGGTTCAATTAGTGTCTACAATGATTGGCATGTATGGGAATGATCAGTGTGAATGAACAGATTAAACTGCTTACAATCCTAACGTATACTGTAAATGAGGCAGTATTAAGATTAGGATGAAATAAACCCTGTATTGCAGTTACCATATCTTTCCTTAGACCATTTTTCTATAGGGTTGAACTGCAAAAGCTCCTTTTGATAGTTTTAATCTCATGAGAGAAATTCGGATTGATATTGTAGTTTTGAGTATCAAGGGCACATCAGCATCAATTTCAGCACAGAAGTAGAATTATATCTAATACACAAGTGTTGTTCTCAAGACTATTTTGAGGACTCTGCAGCAATTTGAGTGCTGGATAATTAGTGCTGGATGCTTCAAAGTTATTATCAAGTCATCTCTATGGAAACAAGCAGAAAACCTACATTTATAGCTGCAACAAGTCCCTTGTATCAATCTCCTCTAAACTCTTCATCCTCTTCAGGTATTGAAATTGTACGCAAGTTGAATAATTGCTTTGGATACACCTTGGGACCAATGCTCACTGTTGTATTATAGTCATAGACGATAATGACCTTCTCAGCACATAGTTAAATGGAATCAGTTAGTGTTGCCTTTACCTTTTTCTGATCTACGCTAGTAAAGTGTTATAATCATGGGGATATCTATATTTGTGCAAAACATTTTTGGTTGCAGAAAAGGTCAAGCCATCAGTATTTGCCTTTGCTGGCCCAAAGTTGACCAACAGGTATTTTTGTGCTCCCTGCACATTTTGCTCACAATGAGCTTGCCTGGATCATGAATGAACAAAAACCCCTTCATTCCCCCACCAGAAAAATAAAAGAATCCACCAGCCTTCTCATCCACCACCAGTATATAGCAGCTTTGTGGCCACGGTAATACCACAGGAAATATACATGAAGAATACCTTCTACTAGACTTTATGAATGCTGCTTGGCAGCAAATCTATGTATAAAATTTCTTCTCTCTCTAGTTGCATATTTAATGATGCCCAGCCTTCTGGGTGGTTGTAGGAAGAGAGAGAGGGAAAATCAGTTTTAAACAACACATATACAAACACTAGAACACTGAAAGCTACATGACAAAAAGTTAAGCCTCAGTGTAGAGGGGGAAGAAGTTATTGTAGAGGGTTGTAATGCCCTTTAGTTTCACATGGAAATGAAATACTGAACTTGAGCAAAGGCCCTGGCAGGGAGAATGCAGTGAGAGATCCCAACCCTCCACCTCCTGTGGGGGGGGGGGGGGGGAGAACCACTACCCCCATTGGCTGCAGAAGTATGGCTGTGGTTTCCAGTGTAATAATGCCAGTAATATTGTGGATTTCAAAGAAAACTCCAGTTTTTTCTCTTTGAGGGAACATATGCTCTGTCCTGTGAAATCTCAAATAATAATAATCATTTTAAAAAACCCTTAAGTTATAGTTAAGGAAGAACTATACATACTTTGATGAAATCCACGAAGGAGATGGAATTAAATAGTGAGAAAATGCTCACTTCTTTTTTTTTTTTATTATTTTATTACATTATAGAAAACAAATAATAGCCAAGTACAGTGGTATTCATACAACAGGAACTGGGAGCTATTAACACTATAATTATTAAAATAAATTAAAGAAAATGTTCACTTCTTAAACTCTTGAGCAAGAGAATAGTAATCACCTTACCTTTGCTAAGAAATTCCAAACTATATACTGTCCTGAGGAGTTGTTGCTTTTAAGTTTCATAGTATGTAAAGTCAGAAGAAATCCCAGAAGTCCACTGTGGTGGGTAGTAAATAAATGTATTAGTTGAATGCTTGTGTTCAACTAATATCCTTAAGAAACAAGATGTTTTTTAGAGATGAGTAGCAACAACACTGTATTGTTAACATTGTTCCATCACAAATGGAAAACTTTAAATCAGCCTTCCCAACTTGGTGTCCTCCAGATGTACTGGATAGTAATTCCCATAATTCCCAGCCAGCATGGTCTTTGACACCAGGTTAGGGAAGGATGCTTTAGATCCCATAAAAAATCCCATCAAGGAAGGCAAGACAAGCAATTTCCTCTAATTTTTTCTCCCTTTGCAATACCATTCCAATTCTGGAACAGACTGTATTGGGAGAAATTAGGCTACAAGGAGAAAGGCAAATCAGCAAAAATTGCTCCTCTTTTCTGCTGGCAGGAGCATCCTAGTTGGAGAACCTTGCTCACAGATGCTTGACAGGGTTCTGCAGAGATTCCTATAGTCTGCTCACCTTTAAACCATAGTTCAAATCTTTTCAGCTATTTAGCTCACTGGGAGATGTTAGAGAGTCACTATTTTTCAAAATGGGGTTCTTGTAAAGTTAAAATCTTGTCCTCTAAGCCATCCAAGGCTCAATGGAAAAAGGCCAGAATACAAATGTGATGGTATGCTTCTATGCTCAAAATACAAGTAGTCCTCAAGTTACAACCACTCATTCAGCAACTGTTCAAAGTTATGACAGTGCTAAATGAGGGGGACTTATACCGGTCCATGAAGTTGTGGCTGTCGCAGTGTCCCAATGGGCACATGATCACAATCAGTGCTTGGTGCCCAGCTCACAATTACAATGGCACAGTGAGCCATGGTCACATGATCATGATTTCTGACATTCCCTGCTGGCTTCCTGCAAGCAAAGTCAATGGGGAAGCTGGCAGGAAGTTGGAAGTTGTTCCCGCTTTTCACCCACCTGTGCTCCATGGCACCTGCCTGCAGCATCCTCCTGCCTCCCGTGGCACCCACACACACCCCTCACACTCCTTAGTGCCTGCCCGCAGCACCCCCGCCCATCACGGCTCCCATACACCCACTGGCCTGCTTGCTCGGGACTCCAGCCTCTTCCCACTTAATGACTCACACAGACCTGGAGTTATGACAGCAACCAGGACTATGGGATTGCTGTTGCTAAGCAATGCAGTCACATGATATTGAGCTTTACGACCACATTGCTTAGTGATGGAAATTCTGGTCCCAATTGATGTCATAAGCCCAGGACCACCTGAAAACATATTGTTTAACTCAATAGGTAGCTGAAGAATACCACATAAAATGTCAGTGATAGAGATATCAGCTGAGAAATCTTGAGAACCCTCTGAAAGATTACTAACTCTAACAGTTGGTTCAATCTGGTAAGAATACCTTTGGAAGCCCACTTTAACAAAACTGAGTCAAGGGGCAAAATGATTTAAAAATTAACATTTGGGCTGCAATCCTGTGAGTAAGACTAAATGAATTTACTTCTGAATAGACATGCATTGGGATTTTGTTGTAATTCATCTGAATAAACCTTTTCCTATGTTGGTGCCTTTTGTGTGTGCTGCACTACAACTTGTATAATCCCCAGCCAAATTTTATGCAATCTTTTGCTGCAACAAAATAATCCCATCATTTATCCACATTACAATGTTTGACATATTTTGAAGAACACATTTTGTCAAATTCCAGATTAGTATGATGCATCATTATTGACTAATACTTGAATGTTTTGGACCATACTTGAGCCTAGAAAAGGAAACATAGTAGAAACCTTTAACAGTTCATCAAAAATATGAGCAAAACCTTTTTATTCACCCATATCATAAGATCTGAGGTTCTTGGATACTGAAAAGTTACCTGGCAAGGCAACTGCTGTGAAAGATGTAGAAGTACAGGAGTGGAAATTCCAAGGCACTGAAGAGATCACCTAAGAAATAAAATCATATGTTTAGTTTTTTAAAAAAGTGGCAACAGTACTTGGTTGCTCTGCTGAAAAATGGACAGAACAACAGAAGAACACAACAATATGAAACTGGAATTGAATGGCTTGCTCTTGGCTTTAATATGGTTTTCATCACTTCTGTAGTTTGCCACTGCTTTTACAACATTTCATTCTCATTCTCATCAGTCTGAAATCAGGTTGTAAACCAGAGAAGAATGGCATTTAATGAGTATGTTTCTACTTTAAAAATGATTGTATTTTCCATGGAAAGTCATGAGCAAGACTCCCATTTGTAATCATGGTCCTTCAGGGAGTAATTTGTTTTCCACCTACTATGTTAATTCTTTTTTATTCCATACAATGCCGCAGGAAATACTTGCAAGTATTGACTATTTTACTCCATAACTTTGAATTGTTGTGAAGAGGAGGAGAAACAGCAGAGGGAGGGAGGGAGAAGAAACCAACTGAACTACCATTTCAGAGTTTCAAAAAGGAAGAACCTGTTAACGTGCATCTGAGAATACACTGCACAAAAGAGGTCTTCAATAGCACTGAATGTTAAATGTATTCTATCTCCTAAAAATCAGAGATCTTTGTGCTCTGGTAGAATAATCGGATCCCATAACATCTGTAAAACTTTTCCACTATCTTACCTAAATAGTAGAGCAGAAAATATATTAGTCACAGGGGAAAAAATAGGAATGAAGTGTAAGGGTTTATAGGAAAGGCTCTACAGACAATAGAAGTTGACTTTTTTTTTTTTTTTGCACCTGCCCATGTTATCATCTTCCCTTCATCTGGGAGAATCAGGAGCTAATGAAAGGCTTGGCCACTCCCTTTTCAGATTGCTGAAACAGTTAGGAGGAAAACGTACAAGATTTCCAACTCTGTTTCCCTTAAAATGGCCTGTCAATATTTGAGGGATTCTGGGAGCTGCAGATCCAATATATCTGGAGGGAAGGCCACCTCACAATAGCTAGCTTGTTTTTGGATGTTGGCTAAGTGTGGCTGAAAGAGGCATGGCAATTGCAAACTAAAGCCCTGTCTAGAACCAATCTAGGATCACAGATCATGCACAAAATTTATATTACCCTCTTGCTTTACTAATGTTCTACAAGTGGCTTATTTCACAATCTTTGGAGGCCAAAATTAAAGGACTAAATTCTGCTTTATAGTATGCTGAAGGAAAAGGGTACTTTACTAGCAAATCTGAACCCTCTCCTTTGCAGATCATCTACAGAGAGAAAGCTATGCTTCTGGCTTGAAATGATCTGTATTGTTCCCAAAAGCTTTTGATGATGAAGTAGTGTTCAACATAAAGGAAAATACTTGGAACTGCTGCTCTGCTGGCAGTCAGGAGCCATAGAGGGCAACAAGGGCTGACACCACTGCCTATAAGTACCTGAGGAGTGGTGCATTAAAATGCTGGAATCAAACATCGTAACAGCTCTGATTCATAGCATAAGCACAAGTGTAATTTCATTTTTCAGACTGCCTTCACATGAAGCTGGGCTGCACTCCTTGGCCTCAGCCTCAGCCTCAGCCTCACGCTGGCTGTGCCCTCTAATGTGCACACATTCACAACAATATCTGCAAGGAAGAAGCTCTGCGCGTGCAGCTCCCAAGTCATGCAATAACAGAGCGTCTCAGGGGGTATAATCACCCACAAAATAAATTATTTTGGATTAGCTAATGCTTTTGAAAGAAATAGAGTCCTAAGTGTGTAGAAATGATTCAGATGTGTGGTTGAACACATACAAACTAACATATGTGAACAAACCTAGGATGAACTATAGCCTATAAAGTTCCTAAGTAGCATACATAAGGAAATAACACCATGTCTAAAAATACATACACACATATACCAGTTATAATAATTGATATTTTTACCTGTTGGGTGGGATGCAAAAGCCAACATCACCACACTAGAAATAAAAGATGTTATTAATTTGAATCTACAAGTATATAACCCTTTTATTTATTACAACACACTTCCTCAATCTAGGATTCTTCCAGAGACCTTTCTCAATTCATTTAAAAATATTCTCAAGATGGCTGTGGAATCTTTTGACTATTTTCTGATCCATCTGGGTATCAGAATGCTATAAGCACAGCATGCTTCTACATTTGTGAGTCTAAGATCACAGATACCTGCCAGCCAACCACAACTTGTTGTTTCTGGCCAACAGCAGAGCACAGAGTACCAAAAGCCAACCAACATTCACTTGCCAGCAAGTAGTGAGTGGCTTTTGGGCCATACCTTTTGGCCCATACCTAAACTCCCTTCTCCCATCACAAAAATAAATCCTGCCATTCCTCCTCTTTCTGAGTTCACCACAATGGTAATTTTCCTAACGCTGGCATGCAGACCGTTCTGTATTTGGGCTCCCTTACCTGATGATCATCTCATGCTGATAGTAGCTGGTAGGTGGGACAAGCCAATAATCCCTCCAGTAAGAACACAGACCTCTTGAATAAGGCAGTGAGTGCAGTTCCGAAACAGTATTTGCTGCCTTGAAATGGCAATCCAACAGATTCATCTCAATAAGATGGCATGGGGATCTATTGAAATTGCTTGCAATGGCAAACCCAAGGCTATCATCTTGGATCAATAGGGGCCACATCTCACCTAACTACTGAGACTGCATCTTCATCTAGAAGACCCTCTAGAGCAGCGTTTTTCAAACTTGGCAACTTTAAGATGTGTGGACTTCGACTCCCATGCTAGCTGGGGAATTCTGGGAGTTAAAATCCACACATCTTAAAGTAGATTTAATCTACAATACACATACTGTTGCATTCCTAACCATTGCAAGACAGATAGCACTCCTTTAGGAAGCAATGATCAGGGAAGTTTTTCTGATTACTATTTCCTAAAGGGACACTATCTGCATTATTCTTATTCTTATTGGGATTTTGGCTGAGACAGACATTTGTTACAAATGAAAGCAGTGTTCCTGAATGTTGACACACAAAAAAATATGCGTTTTCTAATTCCATTTGCTTCTCAGTGTAGATTCCATAGAATGCAATATGGTTGCTTTGGGACATGATATTACATCATATTCAGTTCAGAATTCACTACTCTTCTGTAACTAGCTGATAATGCATGCAAAAATGGTTTTGGTGGTTCCATCAAAATCTTATTATGTAAAAAAAATAGCACCAAATAAGATGAATGAGCAATATGAATACGTTAGGCATTAAAGTCATTCAACTCAATATCCATACAGTTATGAAGAGATGGTAAACATTCTATGTTTTTTTCTTAATCAAGATATAATGTACCTGAATGCATAGTTTATGTACTGTTGTTCAGAGATACTAAGGAAAAAAAAAAGGTCAGTTACTTTAATGTCAGGAGAACTCTATCAAAACAATATCAATAATTCCTTAAACAATTAGACATATAAACATACACTTATGGTACTAACTTTTCTTTGCTGTCAATTATAAGATTTCCTGAATCTGATTTAGGCAGATCTTCTAATCTGACAGATATGTTTTAGCTTGACTGTATATTGTGTGACAGCTAGAGCTGTTTTGGAGATGGAAATGTTTTCTTCCACCAAGGGTTCTCAAATACTCATGGTGGTAGCTAACAAGAACTGGCAGAAGTTTAATCAAGCCGATCTTCCCATCATTCCTATGAGAAGGTGAAAGAAATTGCTAGAATAGTGTTTTTGATTCCAGAAAACTACAGATCAGGCCTTCCCACACACTTTTCACACTCTGATGTGAAACAAGCATTTTTTCCTTTGTACTAGAAAGTGAGCAGATGTTTAATTGGTCTGTGGAGTTAAAAAAAGATGAACACTGTTGTCTATTGTTTTCAGAGGTTGTCTGTTTCTGCCTATGCTATTCTTTCAAACCAGGTTTTTCTAGATGTGTTAGGACTGAAAGTAACTTCCAGAATTTTCAACTGCTACTGGATATGCTGGCTAGGAATTCTGGGAACTTTAGTTCCAACACATCTCAAGGGTATCAGGCTACGGAAGGTTAGCCTACACTTGCATGGGGCAACCATCAATTTCTTCCTTCTGTCTTCTTATTAATCCTTTATATGAAATATATCAAGAGCTAAAGAATATAGTACTTTTTTCCTTATCCATACCAGCTAACATTATTTTAAATTTCCCTATAAATGTCCTGCTGCTGGGCTCTGTGAAAAATAAGAAATGACTGAGATTCAATTTTCAGCTAAAGAACCTCAAAAACTTTCTCATGTAGAGATGCACTCAAAGAACCCCTGTACTTGTCTGATTTATAGAGTTATTAAGGCTTCTCCTTGATAGAATTTCTATCCTTTGAAATTAGGGATCAAAGGAGATGAATATAAAAGTTGTAACATTCATTTTTTTTTCATATGAAGAAAACTGTCTATTTATAGTGGATGGGATCCAGGCTAAATTACCATTAAAATTAATGCAAGAGGTTTCATGGATTTCAGTAGAACTGAACCCAACCCAATATTTATTCCTTACTATTTAGCCAAGATTAGCTCTCAATTTAGCATACAGTTAAAATCCATCACAGTGTAAATAACTGATTGTGTATATGGTGGGAAGATAAAAACCCCATTTTTGGAGGGTTGCTATTGCCATTGCTCACCTGTATAGTTTATTCCTTCTTACATTTTAAACAAAAACCAACTGCTGACCCTTTTAAAAGCTACCAGTAGTATTTCATGAATTCCAAAGCTATCTACAGCTGAATTTATGATTATGTTTACAACAGTGCATTAATTTGTTCTTGCTCACATGCATCTTTTGTACATGATTCTAATTGTTAATGACATAAGGCACTTTTATAAAAATTAACATAATACTTTTACAATAACCACCCTTTACATAACTCCCTTTGTGCTCCATATTCAGAGAAAAATATAGATCACCTTAGAGAATTCGTTTTCCACAACTTGTGAAATACTTTGTAAGCCCCTGTGAAAGAAAAAACACAAAGTTGGAGTCATAATACATTTATCATCTTCTGGTACAGCTAAGGAACAATTTCAGCAAGGGAGACACAGGGCTCTGGTTAAAGATCTACTTGCCCTTATAAAAATCTAAACCTTCTACAGCATCAACACTATTTTTGCTTGGGTTGCATTTTGTATTTATAACAGTCATTTTTCCTGTCTAGTACAGATTAAATTTCTTTTTCTAATTTTATTCTCTTCAGTGCTGTGATCTCTCCAAACCATTTGGAGAGCTTGATCTTCCTCTATTAATTTATTTTTCCATTTTCATGAAGCTACATAATTCAGTGTAAAGTTGGATTCATAGATGGGTCTTTGGAAAGGACGTATAGTGCAATTTTTCCATTTCAAGAGAAAGTAACAGAGTCACTGCTTATGTAAGTCACCAGATATGGAGTAATGACAGAAAACTGAGACTCAATGCATAATCCCACTAAAGCCAAGAGGAGCTACACATAGGCCAGAAATTTTAATTACTTATTTGCTAATTTATTAAAAACTTACCAACACATAGTAAGTGTATGAGGGCCCAAAAATACCCATCTGTATCAAACTGCAAAATAAAACGTCAAAGTGCAGAAAGATAAACAGCCTTCATAACTTGTTTCAAAATGTAACTGTTGCAGTAAGGAATGCTCTAATAAATAAAGTATTTTAGAAGTCTGCATCACTTTCACTGAAAAGTATTAGTCTTTCTGAGCAGTTTCCCTCACCATAGCAACAATCTTATGGTTTTCATATCCAATTATATATTAAAAGCAATTAACAGAGAGTTGGAAATTTAAAAAAAGAAGTACTGATACAAAAAGCCTTGTTTGGGGGACGTAGTAGATCAGGATACCGGGTGGCAAATTCTTCCATGCTAAGATTGATCTAAAGTTTTACTTCTATTTTATCCAATTAAAAATATTTTGAGTTTCCCTTTCTGTTAGAGATTTTTCTAACACAACCAAATGTCAAGAAAAAAATTAAAACACTGTTCAGAATGCCTGTTAGTCCTTGGGAACAATTTAGCAGGATGCAGACAGGATGCCTCTGGAAGCAGAAAGCTTTCAGCACAGGGCATGAAATGATTTCAGAGGCACCATGGGCCTCTCTGGGGAGGGAGTTAGGCAACCCTCTCCCTCTTTCCAGGCAAACCTAAATCAGATGTTGATAGGGCATGCAGGAAAGCCTCCCGGGAGCAGAGGCAGGCTGATATGGAACGAAGCCATCGTGCCATTCTCTCTACTTTTGTCATGAGCTCCTCCGAAAAAAGCTGTTGGGCACAAGCATGCTGAGGCTGTGTACCTTCTAACCTTATTGAGTACCAAACAGAAAGCGCTTGTGCATTTTTTCTACCAGTTTAATTTAGCTAAAGAGAATTTGTTTCCAACATTTATTTCAAAGGGGAAGATTTTGTGTGTGTGAAGTTCTCTAAGTAAGGTGGTCTTACTTAGTTATGAGGTGGACACGGGGTGCACGCGTACAGCCTACCTTTCACTGTACAGTCCTCTTTCCAGTGGTCTGCACTGTTTGCGGCTTCCCACATTTCAAAAGAAGAGAATTTCTCCCACAGGGCTCATTCAGACTGAGAAACAAGGACAGACTTGGAAGCTTCACAGTGAGGTGTATAACAAGTCTTTACACCAGCAACCGCATCTTTGGCCACCTCTACCAATAAGCAAGCTCAAAATATTCCTAAAAGGAATTCTAAAGGAATTCTCAAGCAGTTTGAGAATAAGGTAGGAAAAAGAGAGAGTTCTCGCAGAGAACAAAATTTTTTTCAGAAACCGTAAGACTGATTTTGGCACACTGTTCAAATTATGGCAAGATGTAAAAAAGAGAGGTGCTGAGGAATACTACATTAAATGAGGAATACTATATTAAAATGTATCCAATTTTGGGGGGATGGTATAAAATACATGTATTTTTATACACAGTGAATCAGAAATAAGGAGTTTAAAATGTCCCATGAAATAACGTTCTACATACTGTTGAAGTTACTGAAGTTGTTATTGCAATATGCAATAATACACTTATTAGCCTTTAAGGGGCCACAAATGTATTTGCTTTTTGTTGGCTTGCTTTGTTCCATAGCACACCTGAAATGCGGTGGGCTAAGTTTAATGAACTGCTGTGAGGTCTTCTATGGATGTAGTTGTTGTGCCTTGAAGGTGACCTCTGCTGAAATGGTAAATATTCGATCATGCTCTAGGGCAGAGTTTCTCAACCTCAGCAACTTTAAGATGTGTGGACTTCAACTCCCAGAATTCCCCAGCCAGCATGCTGGCTGGGGAGTTCTGGGAGTTGAAATCCATACGTTTTAAAGTTGCCAAGGTTGAGAAACACTGCTCTAGGGAAAATACTCCTTAGTTCAAACCATTTGGTGAAGTTCATTTCGTAATTCCGTCAGTATTCCAAGCATCTCTTACAAAAGAGCTGTGCTTTTCACAGCAAGTTCAGGATTTGTTTGAAAACAACTAACCTGTGGATCATAGAAAGGAAGCCCCACTGTTGCCACCAGAAGAATCAGCACTCTGTAATTAAAGGGGAAAAGGCCACACGACTGCCACTTAGTACCAGAGATTCTGAGAAATTATACATTTCTATTTCACACTGTGGTTCAAAACAATTATATTATTGATGCTAACATTTCTCACTCTTCCCCCCAACAAGATCAGAAAGTGCATATATCATCCCTGCTCCAGTTTTTTTATTCTTGTAATAATCCTATGAAACAGTATCTGGTCCAAAGTCCCCAGAGAACTCCATGACTGATCACGGATTTGAGGCAGATGCTAATATGATAATCTAATCAGCCTGGCTTCAGTCTTATATTTATTATTGTGTATTATTATTAAAATATGGAAGCAAAAGTTGGACTTTGAAGAAGCAGGATATGGAGAGCATTGACACATTTGAACTTTGGTGTTGGAGAAGACTCCTGAGAATACGGTGGACAGCCAAGAAAACCAATGGATCATTGAACAAATCAACCCAGAGTTCTCACTCGAGGCACAAATGACCAGGCTCAAATTATCCATTTGGGACACATATGCAAAAACCTAGCTCTCTGGAAAAGTTTCTAATGCTGAGAAAGGTGGAAGGAAAGAGAAGAAGACCCGCTGCAAGGTGGATGGACTCAGTTACAGTGGCGATGAGCGCACTGTTAAAGACCTGAAAGACCAAGTTAGAGATAGATCGTCATGGAGAAAATCTGTCTACGTGGTCGCTAGGAGTTGAAAAGGACTTGATGGCACATAATCAATCAATTATCATTAAAAAGGACAGAACATTTTGACAGTGGTTCCATGTTTCTATAATTATTTCCCATGCTGAGATACACGATTATATGCCTCTGTTTTTTCATTTAACATCACTCTGAAAACAAGATACTAGATTAATCATGTTATTAATAAACTCTGTTCCTAAACAACCCTAATTTTAGATGGTTTGATAGAATGACCTATTTTAAAATAAAATAATTTTTACTCCTCCTCTGACCACCATAGTTCTTATATTTATTTTAATGTCAGTTCTGATGTTTGTTTTAGAATTATTTTATTACATACTGTATATTGTCTGGGGAAAAATTATATTTGAAAGATGGCTGAAAAAAGCAGTAGAGATTTAATACTATTTGTTTATTCCCTATTATTATATAGGTCTTTAAACATTCCAGTCCCATGTATGTGAGAATTTTAGGCCAGATATTTAAACCCCGTCTTAGCAAAGAACTCTTCTTTCTCACACACACTCCCTGTCTGCCCCTAGTTCCTTATCCTCTTGCCATTTCTTTCTGAATTATGCAATACGTAAGTCAGCACCTAAGCTCACTAGACATACCATAACTAGGATATAACTGAGAAGTACGGTTGATGACAATGAAAGACTTTTTTTCAGATTGAATTGTTCTGAGTGACAATGCAAGAAGGGCTGCTGCAGGCTAGCTGGGAAGACAACAAAATCCATATCTGGGCCCCTAAGTACAGACAGCCCCCCAGCTTACAAAATCAGTAATAGGAAGAGGGGTCCAGTGATCCCAAAAGAGGAACTGGCCCAGTGATATAACAGAGTTATGGCCTTCCTTGTTGGCCCATGCATATTCCTTGCACGAACAACAGGAGCCAGAGACATCATACGTAGGACTGAAACTTCTGGTGCATTTTCCTTTTCCTAAGGAGCTTCTGGAGATTAGGAGAAATTAGGGCCTCATGCATAGGGAAAAATGTAATTCATTCCCTCACACCAATTCCCACAGGCAAATAACCTCCCTGAAATTGCTTTCAACTTTAATTGTACCAAGGAAAATATACAAATATACAAAGTCCTAATCAAATGAATTCTCATGTTTCTTAAATGAGCTTTCTCCAACCTGCTGTTCTCTTGATAAATGAGGTGGAACTCCTATAATTTCTACCTGGCAAGACATTTGCTATATGGGCAAAAAATAACTGGAATTTAATCAACTCCTATAGGGCAAAAAGTTGGAGAAGGCTGACAAAGGATTAGTTTGAACTCCTTTACAGAGCAAGTATAAAAGCTGTTTCCTGTTTCCAGAGGTTCTTTTTTCTCCACGAAATTTATGTAATAGTTTTTTATAGTTTTGTGTGCCTGGGAACAATAGCCTTATTGTCAAGGTTGTTTGACATTTTTTCCTACTTAAATATAATCAGAGAATAGGAACTTCATTACTAAACCACCCTATTTGATCTTGACAAATACAAATGGAAATTTAAGCCCATGTATAATCCTGAAAAAAAATGTTCTGAAACAATCATATTTTAAACAATCATATTGTTAATTATAAACATTATGTACATTGGTTATAGGTTTTAACAGGATTGAGATTTAACTATGTGTAAATGCAACCTACCCTGCAACCTACATACAGGTAGGTCTCGATTAGTGTGGTTAATGAATCCCACAAAAATGGTTGCATTATTCAAATTTGCACTATTTGAAGCGATATTTCTATGGAAAATATGATAATTAGTTCAGCTTGTTGGAAATAGGCAATGAAAATTTTTAAACATAATTTTTATATGTATATTAACAAAATATTACAGTAAAGGATAATATGTACTTATAATTTAAATTTATGGTTAACAGAGTCACAGAATAGTTATAGAAAGCAACATTTTTTAAAAAAATCTATCATAGATTCAGGCATTCCAACATCTCCTCCTATTTTAGCATTCATGTCAGGCCTAGCCCAAGGAACTCCAAAAGACCAT